GGGGTGCTGGGGGGTCCCTTTGCCAGCTGTGATTCCATTCCACTTACAGATGTGCTCAGCCCTCTCCACAGTGAGACAACCCTCACTGCTGCCTGGGTCCCCACGGGCTGCGGATGCCATGAAAATCCAGAAATAGGGAAAAACCTAACGAAAAGCTTTAGGAAACCGTGGCAGAGCCCTCCGGGTGCTGCTGGTGTGAGCAGGGAGGGGAGCGCCGGGCTCGGAGCACACGGCAGCGATGCTACACCGAGCGGTGCCTGCTGCATTGCACCAGCCTCCATCACTCCCGTGCGGAACCAACACCGACCGCTCCGTGGAACACGGGAAAAAGGGGGAAAGAAAGGATTTCACATCCCAGAGCGCTGTCGGGGAGTCCTCCGGCGTCACGCCGCGGCGCTCCCTCCTTCAGAGCCGGAAAAAGCCCAAAGCCAGGCTGACTCCCACATCGAACCGAGCCCAGGGACAACCTGCTGCTCGCCCCCAGCCCTCCTCCGGCAGCAACAGCAAAGCGACAAGCAGAGGGAACGGACTATTCGCATGCGAAGCACCTAATCTGGATCCCGGGAGCAGCCCCGAGGGATCTCGCGGGTTGAGCCTCGGGGTAGGAGCCGAGTCCTGCTTCCTCCACCCCGACCCAAACCCCTTCAGGGCTTTGATTTATCCCTACATCCCGGCTGAGGATACTGGGGGAAGCAGATGGCTTTGGTACCAGACTTCCCAGGCTCCTGCTGTGGCCGGGGGCAAAATTAAGGCAGAATAAGCCTTGGGAGTAAATTGGTGCAGAATAACCCTTTATTGGCTCCTAGTTCTGAGTAACTCCAGGTGCAAATCCCAGTTGAGCTGGAACCTGCTTTCTCCTCGTTCCTGAACATTTCCAAGGGCTGAGCACTAATGTTGAAAACTCGGAGGTTTTGAGGGTTTTACCCTTGATTTAGGAAACTAAACCCCACGGGCATATGCAGGTGAGGGTTTTCCCGGCGGAAAACAGCAAGGACCAGCCCCCTCCCGTGCAAAAGCTCGGTCAGCCCCGGCCAGCTCTGCCCCAAACCCTGCCCGGGCTCCCTCGGGAGCACTCACCGCTAAAGCGGGATCTGCTTACGTGCCCGGTGTCCATGGCAAACGCTCCCCGCGAGCAGGACAGCCTGGAATGCGGGAGATGCAGCGTTAGGATGAAGGGAAAGAACTCAAAAATTGAATGCCTTAGGATTTTCCAGCAGGGATGTTCAATCTCTGCTCCCCCCCCGTGGCTCCCAGCCTTGGCTCCTCTTCCAGGCACTAAGCAAGCACACTGAAGCCTCTCTGCCACGGAAGGAGCTGAGGGAGGGTCAGAAACCCCTCGGGAAGAGGAAGACCTGCTCGATTTACCTCGGGAGTGTTTAGCGGGCGACATTCCCAACCTCTCTGTGCGTGGGTATCTCCCCTCCAGGAGCCCCTAAAGCCTTTTGCTGCTTTTCCAGCTTAAATCTTCCTTTGCCTCCCGCAGTTTGCCAGCCTCTCCCGAGGTTCTGCTCTGGCCCTGAGCATGAGGAGCAGTCCCACTCTCCCATTTTGGGGTTGCTGCAGGGTTTAGGTGATGCTGTTCCCCAGGAGTCAGCTCCTGCAGCAGGAAAGTTCTATCACCTTACCCCATGAAGGGGTTTTCCCAGGCGAGCTGTACACGAGATCCATCCTAATGTAAGGAAGCTGCTCTTCCAGACAGATCCCAGAGAAAGCACCACGGATGCCGAAGGGGATTTATCCAAGCCAGCTATTTCCTGCTATACAAAGGGGGTTTGGGATCCCCACAAACACCCAACAAACAAATCCAACGGGAACTGAGCCAGCACCCTCTGCTCCATGGCATCCATGCTGGGACATCACAAGCCATGGGGTGCTGAGGTGATCCCACAGGGGACACATGGAGTTCAACCTCAACACCACAGCTCGCACCTCTCCCTGCCCCCTTCAGAGCCCTCCAGCCTCTCTCCAGAATTCCCACAGCCCACACATGGCACAGGAAAAGGAGCTGGATTGGCCTTGGATGGACAGTCCTGCAACATTTGGGTCCCATCTTGCAGCTCCCCCCAGGTCCTCACAGCTTCAGGCGCTGTGGGAGTCATCAATCCCCTCAAAACCATCCACGCTTGGATTTTAATGGGCAAATGTGGGAATTGCAGTGTGTTATAGTGGAAAATATTGGCCTGTCTTGGCTGGGGACTCTTTGCACAGGCATATGGCTCACCCCTGGGATAACAGCCGGAGGAAGGGGGGGCTAAATGTAACTCAAAGTGACGGCAAGGCTGGGATGGGGCTGGGAGATGCCCAACTCCTCCTCAACCTCCTCCCTCTGGCACAAACCTCCTTGTGCAATGGATAGAACAGTAATAGCCTGGCTGAGAATGTGCTGAACTCCTGTCATGCATGGGCTGAGCTCAGCCTAAGGGATATTTTGCTGTTTAGTGCTGGAAATTCACATCCACATCCTGACAGAGCAACATGATGGAGATTTGCCCTAAACAGCCTTTTTTGAGGTCCTGAAAAGCTGC